ATTGAAAAGGAAATTACCCTTGCAATATCAAAGGAATGAAACCAATCATGGAAACATCACTATTGCAGATAGATCATTCCAAAAACTACGTCCAACGGACACATCTGCATCTCGCACTCGAAAAACCTCATGCGCTCAGTCAACCTCCATAGAGGGCTCGACCGTAGCCCGATACCTTTCACAAGCTGTAGGTGCAGCTCGGACGTTCAAGTGTGGCAGCAGCACCGGGTCAAATCAGCTTCAGCACAGCCTGGAGTTTGGCTGGGCCAGCAGCTCTTCTCGGCGACCCTCCTAGCTGGTGAGAGATTCGTTCGACTCGTGCGATACCATAAGACTTTTTGCGTGCTTGCGCATGGTTATGCTCGCCTCTCAGTCAGTCATGATCCACGATGGCAGTTGTGATGGCGGGTTGAGGCTTTGGTTGCGTGTTGCGCGCTCTTCTGGCTCATCAAGATTCATCATCTTCAAATCTTCGAATCTTCAAAAATTGACAAGCATAAAGAGAGCACAGCAGCTCCTCCACCACACGGCCGTCTTCTAGCACCACAATGCGATGTGCCCTTGCAACGGTTCTCAGTCGGTGAGCGGCAACCTTGCCAAGACCAATCAGCGAAACAACATGCGCTACTCTATTTTCGTGAAGAAGAAATGTCGCGCACTCGCTCACACTGCACGGTGAAATTGGAGCCAGGCAGCTAAGACTGCTCGACCTTGTGAAGCCAACTCCGTCAAAGTTGAGGCAACCGCCTCCTGCGGATCTGGCTGAGAGATGAGAGATGCAAAGAGTGTTCCAGCAACTCTGCGAGCTAGTCCTCGCTCTCACCGTCGAGTGCTGAAGTTGGCTCATCCATAAGAAGCACCGGCGCACCTCTTGGCAATCGTGGACATGATCCCTCTGGGACCCGACTCCATCAAATGATCCGCATCTTCTCCACCTTGCCTCTGGCAATTGCCCTAGCAATGGCGAGCCTGATGCAGGGCATGTCGATTCTCGCTGCTACGACTGTGTGTGGGCTGCAGGGGCTTTCCGCTTGCTTGCCTTAAGTTTTGAGTTTGCTCCGACACTTTTCGCCAACACATGGCAACCAAACTTAACAGAGCAAGCTTGAAGAGTCGAAGAGCAAGCCTAAGCCTACCGAAGCTCATAGTCGCAGGGTCGCACGCGTACATGCGCTGACTGGCATCACGACCGATCCATTTGGCCTCTGTCGTTGACCACCGGAAAGCCGCGAACCTCGTTCCCCAAGAGGTTCATCTGCAGGTAGGGCCTGGATGGGACTGCCATGAGGGATGAAAATGATAGAATGATCCTGCGTGGCCCGACCTGCCTCCACGAACTTGGTGGCTTGCGCTGAAGCCACAGCTTTGGCAAGGAGGTCCTAAACAAACGGCTGCTCATGTTGCGAACACTGCATCATTCGATTGAAACATCCTGCTATGCCACGATGACAATAACATCACTAGTGCATGCCTGCTTCTGGCTGTCATCGAAATTGCAGCCTTGAGGCGCAAAACTCTCTGCAATTCATGGCGATTCCATCCGCTCACTGGACACGTCGTTGCTGCTAAGCCTGCTTCCGTAGCCCACATTTTCCCAGACTGTGCGATCGAATAGAGCTGGATCCTGCCGTGACGTCGGTCATCCAAAAGACAGAAAGTTTCCTATGCAGGCCTGGTCCACAACTCCGATACAACGGCGAAAGTCCTGAGTTGCCGTGGCCAAAGTTGAGGCAAAGGCTAGGAGGAAAATAGGCGAGGCAGGCTACCCCACGGTGGCACATGGACGCACGTCCAGCAAACCAGCAAATTCCATTTTCCACAGTAGCCGGGCGATGCCTTCTTTAGAAAACTCGATTGCGAAAGTCTGTGTGCGTCAAGCCGCATTCCCTTTGGTGCATTGCCTCTCTCATGTTGAGTGTTTCTTTTGCACGTATTCTGCAAGGATGTCTTGCACTGAAAAGCATGCTGAACCACTAGGTCGCTAGGTACTTCGTTCGCGGTACTTGGACGCAAGCTCCCTGGAGAAACTCCAAGGAGAGCTTTCGACCGTCTCCCTCAAGGGGCGTGGAACGGCTTGAACTTGACTTCTTCTAGCAAAGCCGGCGGCCCGAGAGTCGGCTCTAAGCTCTGGGCGCCTGTGCGTGACATGCTTGTGTGTGTGTGTGTGTGTTTTTTTTCTGAAGCTGCCAGTCCTTCATGAGGAATCAACGTAGGGTTCTATCCGGTTTCCCACCCTCTTTAGCATTGGAGACATCTGCCTCACAAGCTACAAGTAAACGCAAGCGACCTGCAGATCCAGATCCCGCAGTTCATGGCCATCAAGACGGACAAAGCCCTCCTCTGCAGCAGTAGCTGAAAACTGAAACTTAGCTGCAGCAATGCTTCTGCAAACCTGGAAAACAAATGCCCGCCATCACGCAACAATCTGACAGCGAACTACCACCCAAGCACGTTAAATGTAGAGCGCCGGGAAAGCTACCTTGATGTTGGCATCGCAGTGCAGCACCCTCATGGCTCCTGAGGATCTGCGAGGCGGGCACAAAGCCGGAGTATGGAGGACTTTCCCGCACCACTTGCCTCACAAGCAAAGCGTCGACATCGGTCGAAATCCAATTGTGATAGTATGTGATAATGACAACAAACATTCAAACTGCTTCGTCACTTGAATCAGTGCACACTAAACCGGGGCAGAAGCTAGGGAAGCTGCTCCAACCAAAGCAACAATCTCCCCGGGCTTCACATCGAAAGTTACATTTCGAAGGGCCCACTCGTCCTCAAAGGCAATCAGAACATTTGAACCACATCTTGCGGAATCCCTAGCAAGTGGCGGCGCACCAGGCACCGTGCTGTCCTGGCCCGGGTAGCGAAAGGACACTCCTTCGAGAGAGAGCTTCCCGCTGACAGAATCCACCGGCAGTCGCGTTGCTGTTGGTTTCGAGGACCTGGCATCGCAAACGCTCAAGGTCGTTCAAGATGAGCTCAGCGCATTGTCTAGTGCGGAAGGAGATAAGGCCATCATCTGAGAATGCTTGCAACAGGAAGACTCGCAATCAAGCAGCTTGTCCCAAATCCTTCCTCTTGATTCTTTAAGCCTTCATTGACTTGCATGGCTGGCTGCAAGAATTTTTAACGTGCCTCCTGAACAATGCCTCAGGTACCTTAAGCCTGCCTCATACCTTCAGGGACGTGCTTCCTACATAAGCAATTTTCGATGTCCGGTCATAACGGCAGGCCCCTGAGCCGAATCATGCAGAACCAAAGTTCTAGGTGCTGTAGAAACTGTAGAAGGCTATGGCTCTGGCACTCAAACTATGGTTTTGCAGAATCTAGCAGACATACTTTTGTCTGCTAGAGCTAGCTCACAGAGGAAGCCTAGCGAAACCTTGCGTCAAGCTACGCAATCGACGCAAGGCCTTCAAAAGAAAGCTTCTTGATGGCCAGTCGAAACAAGCTTGGCTCCTGCCTAACCGCATCTCCACTAGTTTCCGTTTAGCCGCCTTGAGTCTTCTCAAATCAGGCCTTCACCGAAGGCCTCTAGAATTCTAGAAGTCTCTAACGCTAAATCCCTCAATGCCGGCCCCGCCTACTCGAGAAAAAACAAGACCGGCACCCCACAGACCCTGGAATCAACTGGAGAGGGTTTGATTGAAGACGCACGAATATTGTGGTCCTTTTGACGGTGGAGCAGGTCTGAAGGGCAAACGAAGGGTACACGAGCGAGATACGCACTGTGAAATGCACGTCCACGGAGATTAGGCATCCGGCACTGCCGGTCGCCGATCTGTAAGGTCGAAGTATCTTTGTGACACAGCCTGCCCGATGCTGCTGAGATAGCCCGAGTGCTTGTATCATTGCAGTACCAACTTTTTGAGAACACAACACATCTAGCGGTCTCGCACAGAAGCAATACCACGGACACAGGCCTGGGCACGGGACACACCGGTGAAGAGTTCCGCCAACTCGCGAAAGCCGCGCCGGTAGCTCCAGAGCAACGTCCTCCCACAAAAGGAGTCCATGAGATTACAGAAGAGTGCAGGGCTTACAGAGCGAGAGAGCGAAAGAGAGGGGGAGAACAGAACACAGACATGCCGCAGAATTGCCAGGAGTAATCGCTTCCCCCTAATACTAAACCCCCCCCTAATTTTAAACAAAATTTTCCCCGGACCCTGCCGGCACCCAGCCCAATTCTAAACCTGTTTGAGAATTACGGGGGGAGGGGTTCAGGGCCTTCGCCCTTGAGTTGAGCCATTAGGGTTTCAAGGTTTAGGGCTGAAGGCTGACAGGATTAGGATCCAGGGCTCAGCTGGAGGGTTTACTTATTAGGCTTCGGAAGTCAGGTTTTAGGATTTAGACCCCCCCTAATTTTAAATATTTTTCGGGCCCAGGCGAATTTCAGAATTGGGGGGGGGACGGATTTAGTATTAGGGGGAAGGGATTCTCAGGACGACAAGGCTCGTTGGCATGGCACACTCTGTGATTTTTACAATGGGGTCGCCAGCTTATCTCGCTCAACACCTGAATCATCAAGACACGCCGTCTAACTACACGGCGTTCGTTGTGGCCAGTCCTGTACGTGTAGAACTGGCCCATTGTGAGCTGCCCGCATGCAATGAACCAACAGGATAGACCTGTTTCTTGAAAGTGCTGTGCCAGTGAAGTGATCAATGCGAACATTCAGTTGGTGCCCCATAGGATCCGAGGTGCATAGCAAAGGCACATCTGAGAGAGCATCATTCCTTAAGTTGCAGTGGAGTGGATGCAGCTTGGCATCATTCGATATTGCTAAAGCACGCTAAAGCGATGCAGCCAAGCTTCAGTAGCGTCGACACAAACCTCAATGCCGTCTCCTTGCAGCTCGTGCCCGATAGTGTGATGACAGCTGCTGTTGTCTCTCTGTCTCCTTGAAGAGCGTTTGTTCTATGACCTGGCACTGCATTCAGGTTTAGATATGTTTAGATCAGGTGACACTCATGTCTCTTCAAAACGAGAATGCATATGCCTTCAAAACAAGTCGGAGAAGCTTTCAGATATCCGTTCGTGGCGTTGCAGTACTCCTTGCCCGATTACAAAGCACACGACGCTGTTACTGTGAACAAGCACGGCGCCCTGTCCAGGCATAGGCATGCATGCAGGAGTTGTCACTTGAAGCCGCTGCGGCAAGGCCATCGTCAGCTGTCCTTGACCTCTGTCTGCTCTGCGCCAGCTATCTGCACAGCTCTGACATTGGCGATCGCCTGCAAAGCTTTGTTCTGGACAGAGGCACGGCAACCATGGGATAAATCGTATGCCAGTATCATGGAAAGTTTTCACAACTATTGGGTGCAGACAGCATTCGTCTTGATGTGCGCGGTGGAAAACATCCTAGCAGCAACTGTAGGTGCATGAGCATGCGTATAGTATCGTCGTCACGTAAGCATTCGCAGTTGGTGATTGCTTTCATGGCTGTTTGTATGCACTGTCGCGCCACATTCCTTCGCGTGAGTCCGGAATCTGAATAACAATCTAAGACAAATATAAATATAAATACAAATATAAATATAAATATAAATAAATAAATAAATATATATATATATGCCTCTAGAGGCAGGTAAATATCGACCTGGCAGCCAAGAACATCGGTGGACACAACTTGCTTTGTCTAGTCTCAGACGAATCCCGCAAACAGCTTTACGAGCCCTCGTCTCTTCCTCGCCTCAGATGCGACAGCGTTGACTCGTGCTAGGGAATCATTTTGCAAGACGCCATACCGGGCCACCACCTCGGCAGGACAACTCTTGAGTGTCCAGGCTCACTTGGGACTCACTTGCAAGCTTACCACATCTGGGACAGGAGCTTGGCCAGTTTTTTTGACAAGGAGGAAAGCCAGCGGAAGCGGTGCCTGAGCGTATGAAGACTAGAGCGCTCGTAAATGCACATGCCTGTGAGGGGCCTGAAACGACAATGGCGACTTTTTCCCCTGTCCTCACGCTTGTCCTTTGACCCTGGGGCTGCTTGGCGCTGCTTCCTCTTTTTCTTCTGATTCCTCAGGCCTTCCTCAGGCCTTCCCGCAGCCTTCCCCCCCCCCCCCCCCCGTGCCTTGGACGCTTAAACCTTTCTGGGGTTCTCATGTAGCCTGCCGCGTTCTGACGAAGGAGGCCACGAAGACGAGACGGTCAACGGAGACGACACAGTCAAGGGGAACATTTCGCTGGGAGAGGGACGTGGGCACCCGTGGACCCACAGCGCATTGTGCGGTTGACGAACAGGTTTGGGGAGGCGAGGACAAACAAGGAGGGGGGAGCGCGGACGCAGCGTGAGATTCATTCGGTTGACGGGCAGGCGAATAGAGTACAGGTGGACAAGACAAGGGGTTCAGGGCGTGATGTGTCCGGTTAAGGGAGGGGGGGCGTGATGGCCGGTTGATATCTCTGAACGTCTTCCGCACCCTCTGCGCCCTCCACGCGCTCCATGCCCTTCGCGCGCTCCACGCGCTCCGCACCCCCTCCGCGCCCTCCGTCCCCTGCGCATCCCCCGCGCCCTGCGCGCCCTCCGCGCCCTCCACGCCCCCTGCGCCCTCAGCGCCCCCCGCGCCCTTCGCGCCCGCGGGTGCGTTGCGTCTATTCTGCGGACGCGTTGCGTCTATTCTCCGGGTGGTTCCTTTGTAAACGATATGTTTGGAAGGGAATCAGGTGCAGCATGGCCTCTAAGTGTCCATCTTACCCGCCCCCCACCCCCGTTCTCCTGCCGGGCAATGACGTTTGACGGAGCCTTGGGTCAAATGGCCAGTGTGAACTCCAAGCGAAGGGGGGCGAACGTCTACAGAGCCCTCTATAGCCCTCTGACATGCCCGGAAAGATGGCGCCATAGGCAAAGCCTTCCGTTTTGAGGGTCGCGCGTCACTCACACACTCCAGAATCCCGAAGCTTTCAGCAGGATTCTTCTCTATAGGTCTAAGTTCTGGTGTCATGGAAGTAATGGGCAATCGGCAAGCAGCATGATGCCCAGGCGCACACCACGCTTACCAGAGTCAGCAAGGTGTGCTGCTGCGCCATGAGAACCAAAGAGACAACCTGCCGCAACCCACAGGCCATTGCCCACAACTGTAAGTGAATGCTGCGATTCAACACGATTCAACCCTGAAGTCTCGGACTGGGCACCCCACGAGTCGCATCAGATTTGTGACCAGGTTCTCTGGCGCCCGATTGAGAACCTCGGTCTTGCCAACTCAATACTGATGGAGAGAGAGAACATCCTTAGTCACATCAGTGCCTGCACACAATTTCCCTCAAGCGCTTTTGCCGGCCCTTCGACGAGTTACTTTGCAGGCTTCCAGTCATGCTTTCTTGGGGCTCAGGCGTTCTGCAGTTGATCAGTATCATTTGTTAACCTGCCGCCGGCAGCGTATGTCATGCTACGAACAGGCTCTGCAAAGACAAAATGCTTTGGTTTGGATACCTGGTGGTTGGCTCTGTGGCACTGTGTTGCTGTGGGATGGCTAGGGTCACTGCGCGGCTGCGCAAGGTAAGGGAAGCTCATCTGTGGCCAATGAGAGGGAAGAAGCCAATCGAGTTTAAGGGACCCACCGCGCATGCAATCCACATGAATCTAGAGCTAGTTTGGCATTGGGTTTGACTGATTTGCCTTTGCAAGCGCGCTGATTGACGTTCGGAGCACTGGAATTTGACCTTGCTTCGCAAAGGTGTGCAGATGTGATTGTGGATATTTTGCCTTCTCTCCGCAGCTGCGTGGCTGTTGAAAAATTCGGCAAGTTGATTCACAGTCGAACCTTTCATCGCACAAATGGTCTGGCTTTGGATTTGGCTTGTGGCATCTGGCTTTGATGATCATCCTGTTCGAGATCCCTGGCTTGGGCCAAGCAAAGATGAGTCAGAACACAAATAAGTCCAGGGAAGGAATGACGACTACGACGGCAGCAAGCAGGAATAAGGTAAGGGCCAAACAAAAAACAAGAAACTGACAACAAGAAGCATGGGCACATTGGAAGCCTAGCTATGCAACAACAGGAAGCAGAAAGAAGCGGGACCTGTTCTAGATACCCTCCCAGACCTGTAGATCGAAGCAAAAATGTGGGTTTGCCATTCTGTTAGTCCATTACATCGGGTGGATGGGATGTGGTGAGTATTGTATGGACTTCGCGCCACCCTGTGCTTTGCACTTTGCACCCTGCCATACAGCTTTACTTTTCAAAGCCATAGTTGCATTTTGTGGCCTTGGAGTGAGACCATTGGCGCATGCGGGGGCAGCATCGCAAACGGCGGATGTGCGATTCGGTATGTCACTGCACATTCTGCTTCCGTATTTGCCACATCTCGAACCCTACCTAACCTCACTTAAACCCAGCATAACCAAGCCTAAACCCTAAACCCCACCCTAAACCCCCAAAGCCTGAACAGTAAACCCTAAACCCCCCGGCAATCCTAGTCTGCTTGTTTCCCGAATCGGCTGAGCCTTTGTCTGAATTTCTGTGCTTGTTTGCTGAGTCATGCTCGTCTGAATCAGGTCCCTGTTTTGCGAATCGGTCAGCTCCCGGTCTCCGTCCCGCCCCCCGCCCTAGCCCCCGCTCACAACTGGGTCATGTGGCGCCACATCAAGGTTCGTGAACAGTGAAACCAGTGCCTCAGCAAGAAGAGATCACAATCAAAATCCGCCGAGGCCTTGGGCCGTAGGTATGGGGACCCCACATCTAATCCCCTCCACAACGCCCCATGACCATTTGCGCATTGGCCACTTTTTTGGCTGAAACCACCCCCAACTCCCCCCACCCACCCAACCCACCCCACCACCCCCCACACCCCCCAAAACCCACCCTCCTAGAGTGCCCTGGACACCAAATGAGCCGGTGCAGCTGCAGAGCTTCAAGGTGCCGTGGTTGCGGACTCCACATGCTCAGGGGGCTGCGTTGGGCCAGGCCGAGGCGGGCCGCGTAGCGTTAACATAAAATGCATCCGGAGGCGCCTTCCGGCTCGGATCATGGTTGGGTGCTCTTGGGTGGTTCTTCCTTTCACTCCACCCTCAAGACATGGTGCTGCAACCGCCCCGTTCTTTCAAATCAATCTCATTGCCAGTTCCAAACCCATCCCACCTTTCCCTGGCTGTGAAATGCCTCGAAGGCGTGCTCACATCCCATCCTTCTTTATTCAGTGCTGGACAACCGCCAAATGAACAGAAGCAGTTGCATACCGGGATGAAAACCATCTTTTCGCCTGTCAATTCTTGACAATGCTGGGCAATTGATGCTCATCAATGTTGCAGGCATTGTGCAATTGGGGAAACGACTGCTTCTCCCCCCAAGCCGACTCGCATCGTTCAGTCGGCACTGTGTCACTTTAACAGTACTGCTTGCTCATGCGGTGTCGCTCCAGGAGCAATGCTCGCTGCGGTAGTCTCAGAAGCTGCAATCGAAAAGCGTCCTGCCTCGACACCAAAGCCCCACTTGAGTTTTGTTCGAAGAACCCAACTTCTTGTCGGATCAATGCCTGTAAGCAGCTGCTGCAGACCGCAAAACGATTCTTCAAGGTCGCGCCCCTTAACCATAGTAGTGCCTTTGTAAAAGTCCTTGTTTTGCTACGACCTGTATATCTGCAGGAGAAGGGACAGTCATGTAGAGAACTGACCACATAGGGCTGAGTACGAGTGAAAGGATATTTTGAGCCTTCTGAGCTCTTAGCTGCCACTGTCAGCCTGAAATAGAAGACAACTGCACCTTGAAGAGCTTCTGGCGCATGGACATAGACATTTTCCACCTGAAGAGTGAGATAACTACGGCATGCATCCGCAACGCGAATCTCTCTAGCTTCGAATCAAGAATGAACTGCTGATTGAGTGAGAAACTGCTCCGGCAGGTGCCCGGCAAAACCCTTGAACCAAGCCATTCAACAATACATGTCTTGTGTCTTGCGAAGCCAGTCAGCAACCGGGGGCGAAGGGGGGGAGTGGGAAACCGTACAGTCCCTAAAGCCAACCCAACAAGGAGGAACCATGATCATGTGCCGGTATGATGCTTGCACATACTCTCACTATACAGTATACCTCTGTCCTTTTTCTGTTTGCAAAAGTTCCTACTCCGGGTGATACATACGTGTACATCGACAAAGGTTGCACGATTGCGTGTGTGAATATTAAGATTCCCGAGGCCGGCCTCGCCAGTGCAAAGAGGATGCCTTGCACCACATTCGCCTCAGTGACCATGATAGGGTTGGATGCCGGGAGGTGGATCCTCTGTGGTTCCGCTGGGAGATCACTTGTGACGTTGGGCTCCTGCCAGTCTCTTGCCCAGCCGGGCCGTGTTTCCCAACTTCCGGTTTCCATGGAAACAATCATCGGGTTAGAGGAGTGAAACCTAAGGTGCGGGAATGGCAGAGTTCGCTCGCGCTCGCCAGCGCCGTGTTGGAAAGTCACAAGCCACATCAAAACAAATATGGGGATTCTGAAGTCTGAAGGACAAAGCGGATGAGCAGCGTTATCATACAGTGCACTGCTGTTGGCCTCGTGTGGTTCTCCTCCTTAAGCAGAGTTTAAGTTTAGGGATTTGGGCTTGTAAGGCTTCCATTCCCGTCGTTGTGCTGTATGTTCAGACGCTTCTTCCCGGCCGAGGACTTCTGTGAGGTGGTGTAAGTTTAGCCTGAAGGTTTTCGTGCGTGCGTACCAACTCCCTGTACGACTTGGCTTTGCTCCAAATCTTCTGCGGCTTCCATGTGCACTGTGGGACGCAGTGCAAGTTGCCAGGTGCCGACAAGTCCGATCTTAAGTTGCGAAACCACATAGGCCACATAGCGCCTGAACACCTTAAAGCCTGCCGCAGAAGCGAGAATGGACGCGAGTCACACGAGAACGGATCTCGAGTCACAAGTTGATGCTCTCCACAAAGCCGCCTTCTTCAACTGCACACTCTTACACCCAGCATCTTACTACATTTTGCTACCTTCGGCAATGCTGGGTGTGCAGCCACGTACCCGTAGAGAGCACATGCGAAGTAAAGGCCTGAAGGCCAGGTTTCCGAGTTGCTCTTCTGCATTTCTTCTGCATGTTCGACTGCGTTCGACGGATACGGTAACGGCACATCTCCTACACATCGCAGCCTGCCTGCAATCGGCGCCAAGGCATGAAAAGCACCCGAAGGGTCTCCACCGCTTTTTGCAGATTCCAGGGCAATGTCCAGGAGACGCCCAGTCAGAAAGGCCCTGATGTCGAAATGAAGGAGTTCAAGCTTGGTTGCCAATAAGGTTGCAACATGCTATTGCTGTGCATGGCATCCGTACATACAGACATATGTATCAATACAAACACCCCCGGATCTACCCTTGTTGATGCCTCAAACTTAAAACCCTATGTGCTGTAGCAGAGCATATTGATTTGCCTCCCTGTGCACACCGAAACACGTCTCACCTCTCGAAATCCCAAGTGCTATAGGTAAGTAGGGCTGTTCACATCCTTCTGTAAGCCCAGAATCCACATCTCCTTTTGAACCCCAAGTGCTGCACTACATATAGCTATATAAGGGTGTCTACTTGTTTCGTTCTGCATTCCGACACCCTTGTTAACCTTTCAAAACCCAAGTGCTGTATCCGAATGTGGTGATTGGTTTCCCTCGGCAACCCGCAGCCCCTAGTCAGCCCTTCAAATCCCAAACGCTTGTTCATCACTTTAGGACACCATCAGTATTTTGTTGCTCGAAAATGGCCTGTATGTTTTCTATTGTTAGTTGTTCGTGTGTGCTTTTTAACGCTGCGATTCTTGCGTGAAATTTGTGCACTAACATCACCGTATGTAGACATAAACGGACACACCGTATGCTTTCTCCATCTGACCACGGCCCACTTTTTGTGATTGCAAAATTTCAGCGATTGACGATCAAGAGAGAGGCTGCGTTTATATAAGCACGGGTAAAAGATGTCGGAGCCTTGTAGAGATGTACTTGATATCATTCCGCTGCAGGGCAGCACAATAATTCATATATGTACTGCGCTCGGCGTCTTGCCTTTTCTTGAAGACAAGACGCCGGTTGTAGTGGAACACAAATAACATGATTGCGGGAGACAATTCCAGTGGTTTCTTAATAGGCGAAGCATTGCCTTTTGAGTAAACAGTGAGATTAATCCGGCGATAGAATTAGTTGAATTCGGCTCTCATGTTTTCGGCTCCCCCAGTTCCACAGTTGACATACATAGCCTCGTTCAAGAATATACACAAGTAGGGCCAAACATATAAACAAACTCATGAAACTACCATGTCATAAAATGATAATTCTTAAACATGCACTCAACCTGTGATACTCAGGAGCTACTTGCGAGTTCTTTCGCACGCCAGGACTAAGTCGCTGATCTGTTATTGAATGTCAACGGTCTTTAACTAAAAGGGCATTTCATGGGGTTTACTACGTACGTAAATGGAACTTATAGGATACAACAAGACTGTCAATTGTTAAGTGGGGTTGAGGAAGTTCAAGCAGGCGCCTACCTATCCCGCAGACCTCAGAGAATTTTCTCAGAGAATGCGGCAAAGTTAAAGCCTGCACCCTCGACCCAAACGCACCTAAACCCCCAAGTCTAACCCCTGAGCTGGAACCCCCTTTGTTTCAGATGAAGTGAGATGTGTGCAGTGGATTCTTGAAGCCTTTTGGAACTTTGGAATCGAGACTAAGCCTTCAAAATCGACGTTCGTTCAAATTTGAAACTGCTGTACACTCACTGAAAACTTCACAACCTTTACATGTACAGGAATGTTGTGTCTTCTCCATCTGTTTTACAGGCATATTTAGATTCTTATGGGTACATACACTCTTTGACTTCTTTATTTTGAATCGAAATAAGAAAGCCTTCCGTTTCCGTGAAAGGAATTTGGTTTAGGCATGTGGCACTCTTGGATCTTGAACCAGTGCTTTCAAATCGCTTCAATCAGGTTTCAATCAGGATGCCTTGGGTAAGACCCTCTGGCACTCTGGATCTTGGATCCGAGTTTGATGGACAGATAGCAGCCCGCACCTCCCTCCCGAAACCCACCACTTTAGTCGCGATTATGGTTTTCTTTCTGTTTGTTCTTGGCTGGGTGAGGCGGGAGGGGAAGGTATATACTTTTGATTTACAGATACATAGATATGTCGATGGATATATATATATATATATATGTATATGTATATGTATATATGTAGATATGGAGTTGCTTTGATACACACACACATACAAATAGATAAATATATAAATTTATGCATATACACATGTATAAAGGCACATAGTTGTATTGTAGGTACTGATATGTATCCACAACTATCCATCCACCGCTACTGTCCGTCCACATTTAAAGTGAAATGCACATGCTGACCACTACTGAAGCGACAAGCCCGCACACCTGAGTGACGCAGTGCCAGCTAATGACCTAAGCGCGGCACTTGGATCTTGCGGCATGGACCCACGTGACTGATCAGTGTATGCGTCGGGCATGGAAATCAAAGTGGCAGGGATCAACAGAAGCGGCTTGGCCTGGCGACATCTCGGCAAGCCCTTCACTTCAGGGCCGGAATCCACTAGCCTCTGCTCGGAACTCCTCCACCAGGCGGGCAGTGAGGGTCTTGCCTGGCAAGGCAGCTTATGAAAAAAAAAAAACGCTTCTGCACGTTTTGGGAGGGTCGCTGCCGACCTTGCGGTTGACTGCGATGCCTGCTCCTGCACAGCCTGGAAAGCCTGCTCCAGCAACTCTCCAGCATTTGCTCCACAGCATTGCATGCATTGCACATGCTGTTTTCGAGCTGAGCTGACGGGCAAAGCACGGCAACTACGTTCGAGCCTTGGCCTGCGCGTGCCCCCTTCTCTGAGGCCTACTGTGAGGGCTGCTGCCTGCTCGAAAAGCACCAGACGTCAAGCCATTCGCACCAGCTCTTATCGGATCAGATACATGTGCTGACGTGACCGTGCAAGATGAAGTACCATTCTTGTCCAAGATGCACTTGAGATGCCAAGCGCGGCAGAGCTTTCAAAACCTCCAAGTCTTCACGTGCCAACTCTCGATTCAAAGTCGCCAATCTGGGTGAAGAACGGATTGGATGCTCGTTTGACGCGTCATTGACGCATCGCCAGCGTATGGAAGAGTGCACCTTCCAAGGTGAAAGCAAACCAAAAGCTGAATGGACAGCAGTTAGGACAGCATAGGACAGCCCACACAAAGCCTGGCAAGGCTGGATCTGGTTGCGCATAACCGCATAACCTTCTCATCACATTCCTTCATGAGCCAGCCTCCAAGCTGACCGCAGGGATGACTGGCCTGTGCTTCAATCTTGCAAGTGTTGCACGTGCGGCCCTCAAGACCTGTCAAAGGTTTTTTCAAGAGTTAAGCGATTCAAGTCTCGCCTCAGAGGGGGCCCGTCGGCCGCGTAGGTCTTCGCGGCGTTGCTTTTCATGGGCTGGGAGCTAGGAAGCATAATGAAAGTCAGCTTCTGAATACAGGTGCTGTTGGCTGGGATCTCATTTTACTTCCGCCGTTTTTGTGTCCTGTTTCGAAGATTGGCTTTGAAGGGCTTAGGGGATGTTCAGGGTTTTTTGGTCTGAAGAGGTATTGCGTAGCCGTCGTACGTAGCAGTATGCTGTGCAAAGTTGAAAGGTTGAGAAAACAAGGCTACCCCATTGACTGAAGCATAAGCTACCATAAGCTTTCCAGAATTCCTTAGGCAATGAGGAGCACTTGAGCTCTGCAATGCGTCCGGCGAGCTGGCATGGCTTGCCAATCGTAGAAGATGCAACTCCCAAAAAACACCGTAGCAGGTAGCACACCTGCGGGGTTCATCTCGGGCACACCCGCGTTTAACACCTGCAAAACATGCCTGCACACGAATCCTTCATTGTTGCAACATTCGGCATGCCGTCGGGTCGACTTGTTGGCCTGAACTCTGTGCAAGCAAGGCAGTTCAGAGGAAAATCATGCCACGCAGGCTGAGCTGAACATTACCAAGGGCCCTCCATTGAAACAAGGGCCTGGCATGAAAATTGGCGAGGTGAAACAGCGATCAACGGATCTGATCCAAGCCAGCGTATCATAATTTGTCTGAAGAAACGCGTAGATTGGCATTCTTTCGGAAAGCGGGCATGAGCAGCTACGAGCTTGACAATGCCTGGTCAATATCGGCCTTGACCTCGAGCGGATCACACTTGGAATCGAATGGAACTCATGATCAGAAGCCAACAACAATGAACAAACAACTTTCAACAAAGTGCCCACGGTGACAAAGCGATTGCCTGCTCTACAATGCTCGGTGCTTGGCTCGCGAGATTCCCTGAACAACCAGCCGGGCAACCTGAGCTCAACTTTTACTTGGTATCTGTAGGGGAGGCGGTGCATGTGGGTGCTGTTCGAAAATTGGCGTCACTTTGTTGATCCGTTTTGAACTAAAAGTTCCCGTGGACAACTGTCCCCCAGACCTCCAAAACAGGATCCTAATTGCATCAACCCCATCTTGATAAAACTGCAAGCGGCAGTTGAGCATCGGGACCTTCGGGAAGAGACCGGTTAAGCCCCCAACGGCTCCCCACATGCAGAGTGATTCACAAGGCCCTCACCGTATGGGGGCCACACACGATAATGGTCTACACCAACTTTCGCAAAAACTCCACCACAGAATGTGCAGCTCATGCCCCTTGTGGCTTCGTGGCTTCGTGGCTTCGTGGCTTCGTGGCTTCGTGGCTTCGTGGCTTCGTGGCTTTGTTCTTGTGGCTTCGTGTGGCTTGGAGCCGATGCCACAAGGCCACTTGCACCTACAAGGTGAGTAAATTCCGTCTTGACTGGCAGAGTAAACCCTAGTAGGACCACATTCATGCCATGTGGAGAGGGATGCAATGTCTGGGCATTGCACGAGGCGTCCTCCAGCACCGACAGCTTTATCTCGATAGCTCCAGAGTCTAGATATGACCTGGTGCATCAGGCGCAGGCAGTGATGAACATGTGCTGCGTTCAGCACGATTCCAGCACGGGCCTCCGTTGCAATGCTACGCTGTTCTCGAAACGACCTAAGTTCTGAAACAACATACTCTTGCAAGCATGTGCCTTGGTTAGCACTTTGGATGCACATCCATACTTGCAAACGAGTCTCATGGCCCGAAAGCGCTCGATCACCTCGCGGACCTGATCACACTCTTACCACTGCAGACAAGTAGCTCCCTGTGATTCGGGGGGGGGGGGGGGAATGAAATCACAGGTTGCAAGAAGTAGAACGTGCCACAAGATCTTGATGCACCTCGTTGGTCATGCTGATTGCAACGTTTCTGGTATAGTGGCCAGCACACCCAGTCGCACTGCTGTGCTTAGATCAATGGGACTAAGCCCAATTGCCCTGACATGTCGGCGCACGTTTAGACTGTATGCCTTCTCCCGTGCACTACTGCAGCTCACAAGCGAGGACTGGGCTTGCGGTTCGGCAATGGACGCAATCTCCTGCGCCTTTAGCGGCAGAATCTAGGTGGTCATGTGCTGGAAACTGATAGCAACTTAACATGTCTTAGTGCTCAGCACCTGCCTTGCAGCAAGGCTTTGCTCGCTTTAGTACTTTACTTTAGTATCCAGGCCCATCCGCCACTGCCTAATTCTCTGCAACAGAAAGCGCTGAATCTCAGATTTGGAAGCTTCATCAGGGTTCAAGGACTCCAGGCCTTCTGGCCTTCTGGCCTCCGCATTATTCCAACATCCCTTGGAAAATAGATGCCTATTTCAGGTTACCGCAAACAATAGTCCATAGGGGTCGCAAAGCAAACTTGGCAAACTTCGCAGAATAGGGAGCATCGTACTAAGTCGAGGGCCCCTTCTAGGGGTCCCTCCTCGTGTCCCTTACGCATTGCATGTGCACGAAACTACGTTTGGTGTTGCTTTGCCGATACGTGTGGTGCCTGGACTCACAGTGCACCGCTTGAGATATCGTGGAAGATGTCCCCAAGCAGTGTTTGCACTTCGGGGCTAGTACGCGAGGAAGAACTCGATCTCGTGGCCGGAAGGTGCCCACACACGCAATCGATGACAAGAGGTGTCCCAAACATTGCTTAAATAACTTTCTTCTGGTCTCTCGGCTAAATTCAACAGGCTTGCACCGCTCAGTTTCACGAAAACATGGAAGGGTACACTTTCCTGCATTTTGGGCTCTTGGACGGGTTCGTTCGGAGGGGATCTTCACTTCATGGCTGCAAGCGGTGCTCTCGCCTTACAGTCCTACAGGCTTCCCGTGAAGTACTTAGAAGTGTCGTCTCTTTGGGATGGTTGGTGTTTTTGCGCTACTACGAATTTGGTATGCCACCTGTAAGAAGGGTAGGAACCGAACCATGAACCGATGATCCGATCCAACAAACCCAAACAGCACAAACACAAAAAACAAAATGCAAACCGAACAGGGGACCGGAACAAAAACCGAACCGCTGTAGGTTCGTGAAGTTCTTGCCGCCGGGAAGAAGTCAGAAGGAGGCCAGGCCGCCGAAAACCCCCGAGTGGCACGGTCGAGGTTTGAACCTCCCCCACGGCCCCGTCCTTGCAAAAGTTCACCTGTGATTTTTGGAGTTTCTGGCGGCCGAAGAAAATGGCACGGTTGAACTTTCAACCCCACCCCGCCCCGCACCCTGCACCCCGCCCCCCTCACAGCCCGCCCCACCCCTCCACGCCCCGTCGCCACCGTCGTCGATCATTAGTACATTAGGGGATTCACCATCTTCTCTCGAGCACACAACATCTCAACCATGAATTATCATCCAACCTATACGAACCGCGCGATACGACGAACCGAAGTGACGAACTGCATGTTGGAAACCGAACTGAGGAACCGAACCGTTCTCTGTGAAACCGGAAGCCGAATCGAACCGGCCCCTTCAAGCCTTCACTTGGGCCTTGGAGTGCTTTAAGACTGGTCGTGGAATGTTTTGGGGTCATCTTGGAGTGCTCCTGGAGAGGTATTGATGCGGACTTGGCTTGCTCTTTACAGGACTCTCAGGGTGCTCCAAGGGAGTGCTTTTGTTTGGGGTCGATTCGAGGATATCATGAGCATACCAACTCGGAAGCCACGTGCAAAATGATTAAAATGATTGGAAGGCTAGCGCCCGCAAGATCAACAACAAAAAGTAAGCAGGGCACAGATGGGCTCAGATGACGGTGCTTTGCCGAAGCCAGGTGACCCAGCTCACTGTAGAGCGTTGGCAGCGTTGACTCTTGGACCACTGAGCTTCACGCATTCGCAAGCACTCTTTTGTCATTTCTATCTGGCGTCATCAGGCCTCTACAGTTTGTGGAGCTGTTCGACATCAAGTTGAGACTGCACAGGAACAGCGTGACATGCACGCACCAGAACAGGCCTAAGCTGCCACTGCCTGGAAGATTCCAGGACGCCGCCAGCTCTCTGGCATTTGCACCAACGACCTCAAGCTTTGGATGCATCAAGCCTTCAACCTGTCCCGATTCTCCAAGTGCAAGATTAGTACAAGATTTTCTGAGCACAAGAGAGTACAAGCATTTGAAGCAACCCACCTTCGCCATCTCGTCCAGAAGAAGTCCCTGCAAGACTGTCACATGTTGCGCCCGGCAGGCATCCCAGCGAAGCGGTTGCAAGACTTCCATGACTACTACATTGATTACTACATGCTTCCAGTATGATGTGCAGCGAAAAAGAGGCTAGCATGTGGGGCCATGCTCGTACTGGTAGCCAGGGCATGCTCCGTCCAAAGACTAAGGACTAAGGAGGCGCTTGGCTGTGTATGACAACTATGTGCCGAAATAATGGGCAGGCTCCTCGATCCTGGAACAATTGCATTGGGTCTAGGCAATCCGGTCTCTGACAAATCGCCACAATCCTTTTTCATTATTGGTGCAGCATAATGGCCGCCTGAAGCGCCGGAGGGACCGTTCTCGCCTTGGGTGGGTCCTGCAGCGTGACACAGCGTCGCAGCGCGATGCAGCGCGAAAGATCGAACATCATGGGGCTCAGCATAACGCAGCAAGTGGTCCTCGGACGACTCGGATGACTCGGACGATTCGTGGGCATCGGGCAGTCGCCCCAACACCAGACTGGCTAGCCTGTGCTGGACGGCTCAATATTCTTGCCATTTCTGCGCATGAACTGAAGACCCGAGCTGGTCTGCAAGGTCAGCTGCCTCCTGTGCAATGTGCGGTAGCTCTGCATTTGCTGACAAACCATGTGACCATTGGCGCATCCTGCCCAAGTGCACAGCTCGTGCTGGCCTTGGCTGCTGGGTTCTTGTCCGCGCGAGTTGCAGCCTTTGTAAGAGGGAGCTTTCAATGGCTCAATGGCTCTGAAGGCCAAAGACCTTTCGTATGAGACTACTCAAGTACACGCTCCAACCACCTCCGTAAGGCATAGAAACATTCTACATCACGTTCTCCAAGCATCGACCTCCCACTCAGACAAACCATGAAGACGTTCGACTGAAACAAGATTGCGCTGTCCAGAAAACTGAGTTTGGTCTGTAGGCACATCTACCCATAGCTCTTGCACGATGATGGGGAACACAGCTCATTTTCCTACAGTCGGAAGCAAGTAGGACCAGGAACCAACCATACCTGATCTTTCGAACGCCTGTGTGCAACTTCCGGTTCAGCCGCATGTTTGGTCTACATGTATGAGATCTTGTTCAAAACTACACATGCGGCATATTATGTGTGGGCGGGCACGCCATGCTGGATTCTTTGAGGATGGGAACTCCAGGGATATTCTCGGTGGATCTCGGCGAGATTCTCGGCAGCATTCTTCGGGGGTGGATACTCCAAGGATACTCTGTGCTTATCCTCGGGATTTCTCAGGGGTGGGCACTGATGCTGCTTTGCAGGAATTTCTGGGGATTCTCTGACATTTCTGCGGGTCTGGCGGATTCCATGCGGGTGGGTGCTCCCGGGATACTCTGCAGAATCTTTGCCGCTTTGCGGAGAAGGCGCTGTGATTCGCGTTTCATGCGAAGCTCCTGATGCTTGAAGCTTTTTGCCTTCGCCAGCTTCGCGCTTCGCCTGAAGCTTTTTAGCTTCGTGAGCTTCGCGCTTCAAAAACGAAGCTTTTCTGACCGACCCTGGTTCGCAATCTCTTTGCGGGCCGCTCTGGGCGTGGGGAACAGTAGGTGACCCGGGCGAGGAGAAGAGCTAAGTACACGTGAAACAACCCCACACCCAAGATGGGCAAAAGAGCACCGCACACCCTGAGTTACTGGATGCAACAGTGGCCACTCAGCGCTGCACCACGTATGACGAAAAACCTGTTGCCAAGTATCTGAGACCTTTGCCAGTCCAGGCATGTCAGCAATCCAGCATACTACTCACAGTCTTTGAGCTCATCACGCTCCGGACTTGGCTGCCGGTCAATGCCTTCTGGGCGAGGACCATGCAAGCACCACGCAGCACAAGAGTGATGTGGAACATTTAGAACGGAGCGTGACTGAGTTAGAGGGCAAACGCGGACTCTGCGAGTATAACAGGCCCAACGTCAGTCTGCTAACAGGGCAAGTTAGCCAAGATGGCATGGCATGTCTCTCTCCAAGGATCCAGACCCCTATCGCTGCCGTAAATGAAGGAAGCAAGAGCCTCACCAGCATGGAAATGATGCAACGAAACAGTTGCGAGGTATGCTTTAAACAATTTGCTGCCTTGTTGATCCGGGTGTCGGAATCAGTGATTAACCTCTGCGCGACATAGGGCCTTGGAGATTCAGAGGGCACCAGAGGGCATGCCATGCATTAGACTCGTTAGACTCGTTAGACCGTTAGACATGGATGCAGGACCTGACGCCTGCCGACAAGCCCTCAAGGGTTTCGGCAGGCACTCGTTGACGATGGAATACTGGGAGTCAGTACCTGGCACACGCATGTCTGAGAAGACCACGGCACTCCGAAAGCTCCTACATCCTGAGCTGGGGCTGCCGCTTATGCCAATCCCTTCCAGCACGGCGAAGGCTCGAGCTATATAGAAAAAGTACGGCGGCCTTCGCTGAGTGTCGTGGACCCTGTGGGTGTGTGCCTTGTGAGTTTAGGCCTTGTTACATCATCACTTCTGAAAGCTAAGAGCTGCTCACTCGGAAAAGATTCCCGTAGCGACGGCTCAGGCCTCAAATTGGCACATGGCATAGGGTCCAGGGGCCAGCCAATGATCAATCCCAAGGAATGGCCTTGAATCTCATTGAAGAGCCCGTTCACGTCCATCTGTAGAAGTACACGAGCAGTGTGACTGTGGAAAAGGAAGAGCGTGAAAAAACCTGTAGAAACTACCGGCCGCTACCTCGAGAATCTTTCGAGTAGCCTGAGCTCCTAGCCCCCGCCGTGCCGCCTCCGGCACTCCATTGGCCATAAACTTGGGCCAATGTTGACACAACCTGCAACTGCAGCGACACGCAGTGAGTCGCGCAGCGACTCCCAGGAGCTCCGAGGTGTCTGAGGATGCCCGAGGATGATGCTCAAGGATGTTCGAGGAATTCCCGCAATTTCCCGCATGTAACGCGCCTCGCTGTTGATGACGTCATCCTACATCTGGGACAACTCCACAATGAGCCACAACTTGCAGTGAGTGTCAGTACTTTCGATATCTTGCCTCCATTCCCTCTGGGACAAAACCAATGCGAACAAGGTCTGCAGGAACCGGATCGTAGTCCTCAGCTGTATGCGCATTGGCCCGGCCGATGCGTGATAGTTGGAAGACCTCACACACCCTGTCTGGGGAGCTAGCGCCAGACACCAAGTGAGCAATGTGCTCAATGTACGCTACCTGCTTGAGCGAAAACTATGTGGCTCTGCTTCCTCGGGTAGGGCTTCCCCTTTGCTGGGACAGTGTGCCGCAGAATAGTACGGAATGCACAACTTTGGTGGCGTGCCCGGAAACTTGGATCGAGGGTCGTGACAAGGCCCCAGTCAAGTATGCACAGCCTGCCAGCTCAGCAGTTTGCACAGATCTGCTGGATGCGGGACCGGGGGGGGGTGGGAGCAGGAAACCAGGATGGTGCAGGCAGGCCTGCCATCCGCAGTTCTCAACAAGTTGCCTGGATGTGGATCCTGCTTTCAGCATCATACACTTACGAACTTGGTGCTATTTCAAGCAAGGAAACCCGGTCCGCGTGAAGAAGTCCAGTCTCGAGCATCATTGTCAGATATGTGTTCATGGCCACCGAGCAGAGCTTTGTCACATCCTGCAGCTGGCAAGCTGATGCAGGTTAGCAGTTTGTTACATATGACCTTGCTATAATCGAGAATGCTGTTGGACACCAAGCGTTTGCTTGTCGACATGCTCGCCGACTGCTCGAGTTCTTTTGTGGTGGCCAGCAGCTCCGTCCTCTGCTCCGCTTTGCTCCAAGCGCTCTCCGATGATCCATTCCGTTGTTAGAACCTGCCACATGCCCCGCAGTTTTTAAAGGGCATCACAGGGCCTTGTTTCGAGAAGCTGCGAGTCAGGTGCTGGACCTTTGTGCTGCAACATGCCTCTACAGGCGGAGGAGCAAAGACCTGGCCGATGTTTTTGGAAGGTCTATATAAGTGGAACGAATGCAACTGGATGTCCAAGATTTACTGCAACACTTCTGGTGCGCGCAGGCCTCCACTAGCCCACTATCACCATGTGGGTGCTCATGAGCACACATTTGGATTTAAATAGCCGGGTTTGCTGCTCCCGCCAGGGGCGTCTTGGCAATCTCTTGTTGAAATAGCATTGCATTGCGTGCCTGGACATGTGGAAGAATATTGCTTCGAAGCTTAAATACCTTCCCAGTGATCGAAGCCTCCTCTCGGTAGTCCAGTTCTCCAACGAAGCCTTTGCCCCATTCGTCCACCCTGCGCTGCTTTTGCTCTGCGTGCTGCGGCCGATCATCACTGAAGTATTCAAGTGCACGGCATCTGAAGCAGCTGTGCAAATATGTGCTAAGCATGCTACCCATGGACACCGCGAAGCGTGACTGAGAAGAGGGCGTTCCAGCAACGTCGGTGTTGAGGCCAGATTTTGTGAACGACAAAAGCGCCCTGAAGTGGGCAGTCTTGTCCAACGACAGCTGCGCGTGCCATCAAATGGGGTCGAAAAACATCGGTACCGGTATCGGTGAGGGCCGCCAACCCGGAGTGTAGAGAAGTAAACATGTGTCCTGCGCTTTGACATCATTGGACAACTCGAGGACTCGAGGACCAACTTTTCAGATTTCGAGTACTAGCACACTAGCACTATGGTGCAGAATTCTTTGAAGGGCAGCGACCAGCGGACGCAGGACAGATGGGGGACTGCACGCGAAGGCAGGGGATGCGGTCCACCACTACCTACTGCTACCAACTGCGACTACACAAAACGGGTAACATATTTATTTAACCCCCCCACATATTTTTCCCACCCCCGACATATTTTTTTAACCCCCCCACATACCTTCTCAACCCCCCAACGTACCTTCTTAACCCCCAACATACCTTCCTAACCCCCCCACATACCTTCTTAACCCCCCCACATACCTTCCGACCTGCCTGACTCCGAGCAGGAGCCAGGAGCAAGGAAGACTCGCCGCCGTGCACTGAACAACTTCGACTTTACGAGGCAGGGCTTAAGGCTGGGGCATTAGACTGGAAGTGTTAAGGTGTCTGGTTTATTTATCCTTAGCCGATTTTTTTCTCTTTAAGCAGAAGTCATGGATTTAATGCCCGTATCGATGGAGCCGCGGGACGAAGACGCGGCACTGCCCGTCCACTTCTCCGCTCCTCTACGTAGGGTCCTCCCACACGCAGCATCCAGGCAAGCCAACTCTCTCCCATCTGCTTGCAGTGCGCGATGGGAGAGAGTTGGCTTGCCTGGATGCTGCGTGTGGGAGGACCCTACGTAGAGGAGCGGAGAAGTGGACGGGCAGTGCCGCGTCTTCGTCCCGCGGCTCCATCGATACGGGCATTAAATCCATGACTTCTGCTTAAAGAGAAAAAAATCGGCTAAGGATAAATAAACCAGACACCTTAACACTTCCAGTCTAATGCCCCAGCCTTAAGCCCTGCCTCGTAAAGTCGAAGTTGTTCAGTGCACGGCGGCGAGTCTTCCTTGCTCCTGGCTCCTGCTCGGAGTCAGGCAGGTCGGAAGGTATGTGGGGGGGTTAAGAAGGTATGTGGGGGGGTTAGGAAGGTATGTTGGGGGTTAAGAAGGTATGTTGGGGGGTTGAGAAGGTATGTGGGGGGGTTAAAAAAATATGTCGGGGGTGGGAAAAATATGTGGGGGGGTGGGGACGGGGGGACGAGGAGAGGAGGGGAGAGGAGGGGAGGGCAGAGGAAGGGGGGGGGGTCGAAGAAACATGTGGGGGGGTCAAAAAAACATGAGGGGGGGTCGGAAAAGTATGTAAGGGGGGTCAAATGAAGATGTGGGGGGGGTGGAAAAAATATGTGGGGGGGGGGGGTTAAAAAAGCGTGTGCGGGGTCAGAGAGGCCACGGGGGGGTTAAAAAAATATGCCAGGGGTGGGAAAAATATGTGGGGGGGTCAAAAAAATATGGGGCCCCTACAAAACTACTACTCCTCGTTCTACTTCTGCCAACTCCTACTCGTACTCCTTCGGCTGTCAGATGCTACTATTGCGCATTACCACGAATGATCGCATGATAGCGTGGGCGTGGGATTTGTTGTTCTTCCTCTCAACCCTGGAAGTCAATTGATTTCCTGACTCTCTTGAACTAGCGAATTACTTTGTAAGCTAACGCAGTGAGAGCATGAAGAAGACAAAACTTTTGATTTCATCATAGGAATTTATCATACTAATTCTCTGTGCTGGTCTCGGGAAGTTGACCTTTTGGTCGGGGCGACCTGAAACCCCAATGAACGCAGAGGACTCAGGAAGTTAACGAAGTCGACTGCGGGATCTCTGTCCCCCGTGATCCCGCAGGAACGCACAGCCTACGCGTGCCTGAGTACATCATCCAAAGTGGTTGGCGAAGGACTTTTGCCCCACTGAAACACAGTGTTCACCAGTACTAAACTTCTCCTGCACATGGCTGAGCTTTCTCCCGTCTGACATACCATGCTGCATTTATGAACCTTGTCCAACGGTTGAATTCGTGTCAGAAATCATGTCACTCGCACGCCCACTCCTACCAATAATGGAGGAGAGGCGATTGCATGAAGAAATGCTTCTGCTCATGCAATGCAGCATTCGGCCACTGCAAGATTGGGACGCAACCTGAATGGGCCGGCTCCCAGCTTCAGCAAGTAGAGGTCCTGGAGCACTGGAACACGTTGTGCAGCACGTGTACTGAAACAAATATGGAGGCTTGCTGGGCTTCTTGCGAGAGCAACAATTTCTTCCATTCCAGGCCGCCTCAGCTGGTGCCCTAATTTTGTTTACACTGCTAACACTCCCTCCACTTTCCGAGAGCTCAGGCTGGAACTGCACTTTCACTGCAACCTCTGGACCATCACGAAGCTTCGCTTTGTAAACCTGATGCAGGCAAGGCATCGGTAAATCAATGCGACTCCGTTCGTGCGACACAACAAATCTGACTCGGCATGCCTGGCCCAAAGATGCTGAAGCGATCGGCGCGGGCGAAATCTCTTCGAAGATTTCGCCAACAGGCCTTTGCAATGCATCTACGCAGATCAAGAGATCCTTCCCAAATAAAAGCTCAAGTCAAAGTAAAGATGGTCATGTCCTATCATCATCGCAAGACAAGACTAGAAGGATTTCTTTGCAGTGACGCAATGGTAGCTGCAACAGGCACAAAAAAAGAAACCGCCCCCTTGGTTGCTCATACAGCAACAGCGGCAACAGCAGTGCGCCAATCAAGTTTGAACCTTTTTGGATTGTGAGTCACTGTCTGCTCCAAGATGGACCTGCTGTCCGATCTGGGAAGCTGTGTTTATTGTAAGGCCAGGAATTGGCCCGAGAACCACTCCCGCAAAGTCCACGGAATCAATCCTCTCCCTAGGGTCATTGTCAATGGTTGTGAGAGAGCTCTTGCCGGTAAGCTAGACATGTACTGTTCGCTGGGCAGGTAGTTGCGGTGGGAATGGCGCCTACTGAGGCCTCTTGCCTGGAACGTGATGACTTTTGTAGTAGTCATAGATGTTGCATCGGCGTATAGTGTGGTGCCAGTGATGTCCCCTGAGTCCCCACGACATATCAGAGACCACATGGCCGGGCGGCAAACGCTAACTCTGCACTGGCATCACGCCTGTGGTTTCGTGATAATTTTGCTTGCGGAACCGGAATGCAACCGCATCAGCAGCGCTTTCGTGGTGCAAAAGCCGAAAAGTTGCACCATGGAGGGAGCGAGCGATGCCTCCTGGCGTAATGAAACCACCTTTCGGTGAGGGTGTGCTTGCGGGGGGCCTTGTTGGGACCAAATTTCACGCCTTACCGAGGCCTTGGCTAAACATTAAGAATGCCATGCCGGCTTTAGCACAAGTTTATGACTCCAGTTGCAGTTGCCCGACACGTTTCGACCTGGTTATTGTTGTCACGGGCATGGGTCAGGAGCACTCGTTTCCCGTAGGTGAAATGTAAGGGCAGCGAATGTTGATGCAGCTTACCCCGTAACCCTAAACCTGCCAGATGCTACAAACAGCTGTGTTCAATCGTGTGCTCCTGGGCCCAAACCGTCCTAACTCTGACTCGATGATCTCGTCTGCTTGAGCTGTTGGGAACGGCGGCACTCGGTCCTGCCATCTGCTGCTGTCTGTTCCGTCTAAGTCTTCCAGTCTCTCCGTTACATCCAAGGGCTTGACCACATGAATGATGAGTGCTTGGATAGCAAGAATGGTGATGCAAGCACATGCAATATTGGCCTTGGTGTAATGCATGAATGTTGTTCAGTAATTAGCAGAAATACATACATACAGACATATATATATATATATGGTAGCATACGTATGTATTCTATATAATGTGTGTTTGTAATGAGTATGCAATGTGTGCAACAATGATACGAAAGCAGAACGTGCAGGAGATGACGGTGACTCTGCTGATGATGATGATGATGATGATGATCATGACGATGATGAAGAGGAGAACCTAGCCGCTTGCACGCATGTTTGTTCCTGCTTGCTCTGCGGTTCATGACGCTCATTGCTGACAGGGGTTCTGGCGATATTTGCCAGTTGCTTTGAGTTTACTGCTTCGTGTCAGTATGCATGCTGTTGTCTTGAGTATGGTTCTGAGGATCTTATGCTTACTTTCAGTATGGTTTGGGTGACTTCTCATTCGTCCAGGTTATATACCTTTTTTCCACAAAGGCGGTCGTCATCAGGAGGCCTTCCCGCAAGTGAACCAGCCGCGGAGACTCAGCAGCATACTGTAGATGCTGGTGCACAATTCCCTCACAACCATGTCAGTCCTGTAGCTGCGTCAAAGCTTCGAGATAAACAGGAGAAAGAAGATCAGCACGAATGGAGAGTGCCTGGCAGGGTAGCGGAGGCCTGCCTGAGGAACCGCCTCGATCACCAGCGCCTTTACACGGGTAAAATGCCAGGCCCGGAACGCACAGAAGTACCCCCGCGCCCCCCCTCCCCCCCCATGTTTTAGGTGACCACCTCGAGGTACACACACACAAAGCCTTGGTGCCTCGGCAGGTCTTCTGGCAATGGACTTCTGGGGAGCACAGGTTGTTTCAAGGGTCAGCGTTTTCGGGTGCTGTTGGGAAGCCTGAGAGCTCTAGTCGACATTTTGGGGCACTCCCTCAACTCACGGATTGGCAATTCGACGGACATCTTTTCTTCGTTGCGCACTTGAGCAGACACTCAGCCACTGGAAGGCCACTCCCCAACAAAACGCTGGGCGTAGCTCCCTGTGTGCGGCCGTGATGCAATGGACTCAGAGAATCTAAGACCCGTGGCAAAAGCAACAATAGCAACAATGGTCTGCAGCAGTCATGCAAGCAGCTTTGGGTTTGCTTTGCTTGCTTGCTTGGTGCGGGAGTCCCCCAGTACAAACCCCGGAACACGAGGCCTGTGAGTTTTTGGAAGGCGTGGTGTTCCCTTGCTTCTTCTCAGTACAAAAGTGCCCCGGAGAAGACCATCAAAGTCATCAGATCATGACAGCAAAGACACAGGCACGGTCAGGGCGTTAGGGCGTTACGTTCACACAACGGCTGCTAAACTGGAGCCATGAAAAGAAATCCCCTGCCTGTCCAATCTTGATGAAGGTCGGCCCGAGCTGTGTCAACATGTCCGTGAGCTCGCGCGCACGCTCAGAGCTCATGGCCTGCGACACTGCGACACTGCGAGCACAGGTAAAGCACAGGGCTGAGTTTCTTCTTACGGCTTGTTTGCCTCCAAACGAGAACTGGAGTGAGAAGAGGGCAGGGAGAGAGGGTGGGCTAGTGATTCTAGCGGTGGAACAAAGCTGCAGCAAGTCGTTTCAACCGTGAAAGCGGCCCGCCTCCCACTGCCCAGTCTGCGAGTCAAGCAGCAGTTTGACCTGCACATGCCCTCGTTCCTACTTGTGAAAATGTTTGGTCGGCCCCCCCGAAAACCCCTACAACAAAAACATTTTACGTGCTGGATCCTATTTTCGAGGGAAGGAGGGGTCTTATGTCTTATCTCAACTTGCTACTCGGCAATTCAACCGGCACGGGAAGATGCGGTGGCTGAGGCTACACAGGATCTGAGGTCCACGCAGCAAATCCCAAGCTCGCCCCAGCTAGCTCAGCTGCGCGCAAGGCGACTAGCCAGGGACCTGCAATCTTGGATCTTTTTTTCGCATCCGCATGGGGATGTCCACCCAGTGAGCATACACTTCTTCCACATCTCACACCGTCGGAATGCACGCTCTCCACCACTGCCAGAAGTTTCACTCTCGTCGCCACAAATGAGCCAGAAGCTCGCCCGGCAAAGTAAGAAGCTGCAGTCTCAGCATCGTATCGCCCATCTGAGGCCAATGTGCAAGATTCAGCAAGTGGTTCGCAAGCACTTTCGCTGCAGCTCAGGCCGTCACCAGGATATGGGCGCGCTCTGCAGCACACCCTGTGCCTCCGCCTTTGGTGGATTACACAGGCAATGCCTGGCAGCAACTGCAGCAGCCATTGGCCCAGAGTTCAATCGCAATCAAGTTTTCCCAGCCTCCTAGAACGCTACAGGTTGGCAATGCTCGCGAGGCTTGTGACCTGCACGACTGCCAGGGCTCCAAGATGCACAGCGCACAAAGCCAAGCGGATGGCACGAAAGCGGCTCAATTGGATGGCGGATGATAATCGAAAAAAGGTGGGAAAGCTCCAGCACCTTGTGGAGTCTGCCGTAGCAAGGACTTTGCTTGCAGCCTCAAGGTTAGAACGAAGGCGTCTGCCCAAAGTCCGAGCCTTTTCAACATGGGCGACCTTACTGGCTTCGATTTCCTTGCCAACCCTCTGAGAGTGTGTCCATGGAGCCTGCTCTTTCAACTTGATAGTTGGAACTCCTCGCGAGGTGGGCATCGATACTTACAGTTCAATGACAGAACCTTTCAAGATCGTCTCTCAGTTGACGTGCCGGTCAACTGTTCCAAGTACTATCAAGGCTCCTCAGCCATCCCTCGCTGTGTTCTTACGGCCGAGGCTGCCGTCCCCCCTCCCCCCCGCCCCGCCCGCCATATTTTGGATCACCGGAATACGCTTCTCGATGAATAGCGGTGAGGGAGGGTGGAGGTGGCCTTTTCCCGCTATGAAGCGGTAGAGCATGCCCATCATGGAAGATGGAATGTCCCAGATCAGGCCCCGATCCCTGAGTGCTTTCAGAGGGGCCGTTGCTTTTTGAGGGGTGCTCTGAAACAGGGGTCGCGGCTCTGGAGCGGAGCAGCCGGGGGGAAAGCGATGTCAAAAGTCGCTCCCATGCCGTGCTGCAGAGCACTCTTTGAATCTCATGGAGATTGAACGCAGCATCTCTTCCAGAAAAACCGTGGGTCTCTCGATACCTAGATACGAGTGGACGCGAAGCTCTCAGTGCGCGGCATCTTGGGTGACTTGCCTATCCGGGCCACGTTAGGCAAGGTCAAGTGCACCTAGCAACCTCCAACTGTGCAGAGAACTTGAGAGTTTCAGACTGATTACAACTTTTGGACCTGGTAAGCAGCTGCCTGTGTAAGTCTTCACCCAGTGCTGACGATGTCCCTCCCTCCCCCCCTTCCGCCGCTCCCCAAATCCTGGTTGCTGTGAAGCAGAGAGCAGCGCCAGAAGCTCCCATGAGCAGCACAGCCCTGGACTTGCCTGCCAGACCAATATAGACATTATAGACCAATCCACCCAAGCTACTATCGAGGAGCGCAGGCTGCATCAGCTATTGGTGCCTTTGGTGCTTGGCCGCACCAT